GATTGAAAAAAACTGGAAAAATAATTTATTAGTCAAAAAATACGACCACTCTTCGTCTTTCTGTTACAAAGTTAAAAACTTGTGAGAACAGAAGTCACTTTGAAGTAAAAAAAAACGGGTAGGAAGGTTCAAACAAGTACTCCGGTCCTTTAGAAATAATGTCTGGGAAGGGCGCATCTTCAGACTTCACAGTACTTCTTATCTTGATTGGTCAAATGTAGATAACCGAGCGTGTGAACTGAAGAAGGTGAGGAAAGCGGAACGAAAATTGAATGGCGATTGGCGGTTTTTTCAACCAGTCACAAAAGGTGTTCACACACGAATCTGTTCTAACTATAGTCACTCAAACACATTCATTTAGATAGGAAGAAAAACCTTCAAGGTTGCATTTCTCCCTTGAACTCTCCATTTCTTTAATGAAAATGTAACATTTACGGTCCTCAAGGCTCACGGCTCCTTTTCGGTGCATAGAGAACACTTGTTATAAGCCTGCGTGAACTGACACCGTGGTGAAAGATGCAGGAATTCCGAGTAACCCACACCAGAGCCCCTGTACTTCCAGAACGGTTTCAGACTATGAACAAGAAAAACTGAATATCCGTCTTCTTCTTGAATAGAACAGTTTCAGACTATGGACAAGAAAAACTGAATATCCGCCTTCTTCTTGAACGCGTCTTCTTCAGCTTTCCTGGACATGCAATGAATGTCACAAAGTTCTTAATAAGTCCCACCTTCCATTAGATCAAGACGGAGTTCCGAGAAAACCACATACTACTCGCGTGCCTCATCAGTAGCACTCATCGTTGGGCTGCTTTTCCTGAGAGCCTGTATTTTTTGCCAGCCCTCATGAATGTCTCGCCTTGCTATTACGCTCACAAATCGTTTTAGTCCGTCTCTTAGCTTTCCGACAGATTTTATGTCTGACATTTTAATCGTTGTAACAACGCGCGTGTCAATTTTAGATGTACTTTTGAACAAACGAACAAGTTGTGTTTTCGAAGGCGGAAGTAGAGATGAACCGGCACCGAGCAGAATTCTCGCTTGCATCTAATTAGTTTTAATAATGTCCAATGGTTCCGGACGTACCATTTTCGGAGTCCCATTTAAGACACATTTTTCAGGACAAATCTTTAATTCAGCTTTGGAGCGATTACGTATGTACGTATGAGTGCAAGCAATTTGAAAATATTTCTGGAATGCAAACCAATGATTCCTGAAGAATGCACGCTTACTCAAGAGGAAGGGCGTTCAAGTGCAATCAAATTGATTGATTCGAGCCCAGAATACATTAGAATTCACAGGAATAAAGTGCATTTACCGCGTCGTTTTATGGAGCATCAGTTTCCTCCCGAAGCCAGTGGAGCATTCGAACTCCACGTTTTATTCTTAATACTCGCGTTATTGGTTTGTTCGCTGAGCTGGGCAATTCAATTGCAAACGTCTCATCACCAATCGAGGTGACATCATCGGTGTGTTTTGGGGGGCGTAGCGACGGGTTGGTGGTTTTGCTCGACTCAGCAAAAAACCAACGACCATCTACCAGCTACCAACATTTTCCTCTATGGAAAAATCGCGCCTGACCTGATGGCACGCTTTCAATGTTGTGCACTTAGATTCCTGGGGTTCAGTTTGTAACTTGCATGATTCTTAAGACCTGGCTTAGGATTCCTGTGCGTTTGTCTCGAAAATGTCCGCTGCTACCCAGTGTTCTGGACGTTTAGAACACGGGATTTTCTCTCCATCACACAATGTAATTTTACAACAATATCTTCAAACGTTTCGTTCTCACTGGTCTCAGATCCTTCATACGGAACTGACCAAGATCATACCCATGTTTAATCTAACTTCACCGAAGTCCAAGCACTCACATTTTACGCTATAAGTTGTTCATTTTGCATGCCCATCTTCACTCAATCGTTCTACCTTTGCAACTGGAATCGCCGTTCTGCTACGGTCTTCAACGTGTTGAAATTCCAGCCTATTGTTTGATCAGAACAATGGATGGGCCTTTGAAAGTATCAGGTTGTCAAAAGTACCTGGTTTCCTTCTAGGAGACTACTCACAAGGTTGCTGAAAACTCTTTGATTGAAATACCAGGCGACCTGTGTGCAGCACATTCAGTTGTAGAACATTATAAAATAGAGATTCACTTGATTCTCCTGTGGAAACGAAATCGAGATTTGTCGCTACCGTGTTTTCTGTTGCCGGAGGAATGAAACTTTTGTCAGACAAGGCTGTATTTTTTCGTTCATTTTCGTGAAAACCCCTTTTGATTCTTGATGTTACGAAGACTTCATCGTTCATCTAGCCGGGTCACAGTCACCAATTAATCAATACGCAACACTTTCTCTCCTAACAACGCACTGATGACGTCTTCTCAACCGATGATGAAATGTTTGCAATCGAATTACTCAGCTCAGCGGACCAGCCAACCAACCTACATTAGTTAGCTGTTCAAACTTGTTTATTCTTCAGTTCTGGCAGCACACACCACAAGCCTGCAAACACGCTAACAAGAACTCTCTCTAAACGCCAGATGTAGCGAAGAAGGCGAACGTGGTAACACTATTTTGGCCAAACTTGAAAAAATTTCCACCAGAATAGACAAACAAAATAGCTTGCTGGCAGAAGACATGACCCAATGTCATCTGTTTCAATCCACGAAACTAGAGAAGGACATCAAATTCAATTGGGACAATGTTCAGATACTTACTCGTGCAAGAATAAATTGGGGGCAAGAGTTTACCGAGGCATGGTACTCCACACTGAAGTCGATTAACAAACATATCGATCCAGTCTGTCAGCTTTGCGAGCAAAAGAACTACACAGGGGAGTCTGAGCCACATGCAAAATCAGGAAACTTAACGACAACCAGCGGACCAACGAAATCAAAGGAAGAAAACTAAAAACAGGTCACTGAATCAAGCAATTAACTGGTCAAATTCAGCCGATAAAAGCAAGAAGGAAACGGCCCAATCACAACAGAGGCACAGAACTGTTGAATTGAACGCGCCCAAAGAACCAACCAGGTATAAGCGAGTGAGGCCAACTCAGACTCAGAAGGGACCGATCAAACAGCGTGAAGACCAGCTCGTAATCGACCAATCACTTCAGAGTTACCACATGCTGTTTAGAAACTATATAAGCACAAGCAAAATAGGGGGATTCCGCCCACTCAAGCCCTCACTGATGAGGTCACCTCGATTGGTGATGAAACGTTTGCAAGCTTGGCTAACAGACCAACAACCAAGCTGCGCAGCCGAGCTACCTATATTCCACAACATTTCCGAAACTGTAATGTGATTTACACGGTAGAATTTCACTGGGAAATTGTGTGTGGGCTGGGATACCGCCAACGCGCCCAGACCCGGACAGGAAGACGATTAGGGTCATCGACATAACCTCTATCCTAGTATCAATGCGGCGGCTGTATTACCACTTTTATGGAACAAAATGCCACAAATGTTCCAGCCCGGGAAATTGTTTTGGTCAGAACTTTAATCCTTGACCACTAGGTACGAGAGACTGTGAGTGTCGCACGAACGCTTCCGTGTACGGCTCATTGAGTCGCGGAGGTACACAAATCGTCACACCAGGGTTAGGTACAGTCTCTCCGCGGCAACACTGGAATATTAATGGAATAATAACGTTGCACCATAAAGTTGCATCACGTACAACCATATTCGGACAAATTTAGTCGATCGTACAAGAGTGGGTCAAGTCCACAACAGACATGAATGTCCTGATAATGCTGCGTCAAACATGACGCGCCAGAGGTCACAAAACTCTGTACAGCCCTCAGTAAAAACTCACCTCCTCGATATCAAACGCCGCCCCTCCACCACCCAGNGAGAGGTCACAAAACTCTGTACAGTCCTCAGTAAAAACTCACCTCCTCGATATCAAACGCCGCTCTTCCATCATCGAGACGTTTCTGTGCTTTGAACGTTTCGATCACAGTGGATAGTCGTACCAACAGCAACACGTAGTCATCAAAAAATATCTCTCCTTTCCGGTTGGCATATCGGCACACGATGGCGTGATACACCCGGTTGCTCACACTTATGCCTAAACGGATACAAGAAGTACCGATGTAGGAGCAAATTGTTTAAAATGCATTGATTCGTTGACCAAAGCATTTTTGTTAGAAAGGATTGCAGCTAAACACTTATGGACATAAAAAGAAGCATGAAGACCATCTAACTTGGTAACTACTAACCGGAAAATAAGTAATAGACCATGATTGATCAGCACAAAAAGTAACTCAAATTTAGCAGTTCGTTGTACCAAACAAAAACATGAGGTGATTTTGCACAGCACATTTCGTTGAAAAAAGAGTACAAACGAAAGATTCCGTCGAACTTGTCGTTAAAGGCAGTGTAATTTTCGAATGAGCGTTTATCTTGCCACTTGCACAGATAGTTTGATGATCGCATGAAACTAAAATTGGTTGAAAACGGAAGACAGCGCCTACCTGATGAGCCTGGAATAAGGGTAAAATCAGCAGTGAAATGCTAAGAGGTGCTCAGCGACCTTACAAGTAGTGAGTTTTGTCAGGACAGAAGGATGACTTGAATTGTCCTCGGTTGGGTCAATGTCGGAAAGTACATTACTCACGAAGTTGATGAAAATTCTTTGACACCCGACAACTGGTGTTGAAATTTTTGGGGTTCATCAGGTATGCTCTGTCTCCGAACTTTCGTTAACCTTATGTATTACGTAAGCAGGAATTGGACACATTTCGAAAGATACACTCAGTAGCGAGGCAGTTCGTCTTTCACGGGAAGAAAAACACCATAAATGAGAGATTCGGTCGGGTTCCAGGTATGTCAAAACCAAAACGCTACGCAAATGAGTGTATTTTGCTGAGTTCGTGCAATGTGGGTTCAAGTAAAACATAAGACTGACGGAAAGTCGGGAACTGTGTCCACCTGATGAGCCCGAGTTGGAGGGACGAAACCGTTCGTGGACTGTCGAAGAGTTGTTGCCGAATACTCGTCGTGAAGCGGCAGACACGGACAAACAGCTGACGCAAACCGATCGATAATGCACGACAGTTTACCGCTCATCAAGAATACTGCTTTTAACAAGTTTGGTCTATTCGCCCAAAACGGTTGAATTCTCCACTGGGGCGTGCATAAAAGTCGTGGAATCTCTTCTTATCAATCAATGTACTGAAGCTTTTGTGGTCACCAAAAGGAGAACGTTTCTCATGTATCCAGCAGAAAGCAGATTCTGCAGCCTGCCTCCACAGTACCACAATACCCGAGGCAACAAAGTGAAAACACGCCGATAAGGTCCGCTGAGTGAACCGACTGTTTTTAATAGTACCGATTCTTCCCTAACAGGACTTGATGAAACCCCAACACTATCCACAGGCGAGGGTCTGCACCGTCAGAAAAACGTGCTCTTTTTGTCAGGATCACCCAAGTTGCGAATGGCTCATCGCCTACTCCACCACAGTTGCTGGACAGTTACTTCAATGCACAACAGCAGTCGTCAGTATCAACGGACTGCGTAAGAGCAGTTCTCATCGGAGCAGCACAAAATCAGGGCGCAGTTTTCCTGAAAACTAATCGAGTGTGATCAGTTTTCCGGGAAGATCAATAAATCGATTCACTTAAAAAACTGATACCATTGCGAGGAGAGCACGGTAACTTTGAAAATCTAGTAGAGTAACACCAAGAAAGTCCCGTCAATAAAGGCCTAATAAATATTTCGGAGTAATCGAAGTACACTGTAGTGGGATGAATTTTTACAATCCGGAATTTCCAGTGTTGTAGGCAACTGGTTCGTCAAATTTCACAATCAACAAATCACGTGCACGTTTAGCAAATCAAGGACCAATTTCCCACCCGCTTCGGATTTTTTAATTCTATTTATTCCTAGTTTTTAGTAATATTCTATGGCAACAAAAGGTTCCAAGTTTGCTCATACCAACTGCTTGCCCTGCCCCCCCCCCCCAAAAAAAGATTCTTTCCCCCGATTCTCGAATTTTAGAAAATGGGCATCAACAAGACAATCTTTGTCGTTTCACGTCTCTTTGAAATGACTGTGATTTAGAGGCTATCCGGAATTTTTTCACGCAAAAACTGGGGTACCAGAAGCACAAAATTCGGACCAGTTCCTCAGAAACATCTGGTCACAGTAGTTCCAGATGATTCAAGATTTCCACAAACCAATTCAATCGTCGAGCCTAGTATGAGAGTAAATTTTTCGTACAAAGACCGCATGGATAAACAGTCACCTAGGGAGCATTCGGATAACAAAACAGAGCTCGACGAATGGATCGGCCTAGCAGCAAAATTGTCAGGACGCGCCCAGATATGGAAAAAGTACATGTGCAGAGAGTGACGCATCCCCAAGGTCACCATCCGTACGACACGTTTCGGATAGCAGGTGAGTTGGCGGAGCACCCCAAACACGGCTTAGCAACATAAGACTAGCGGAGTGGGGCTGAAAGTGTTCACGATCGGAACATCGCCATTGGCTGTACAGAACGAACTAGGGACCATATTTGGCCATTTAGTCATCCTATATATTATGCAGAAGTTTTGTATGTTTTGTCCTGACAAGACAGCCGTGTCCCGGGTTCTCTGTCTTTTCCTGATCGCGTAGTCTGGCAGGCTCAGTGAAGGCGTAACCAACAGACGGCCACCCACGACACAACAAAAATCAAACTGATTGGCGAAACTCAGATGATCAGCACCAAATAAACAGGGAAAAATTTCAAGATTATCGTGAGAGGAAGAAATCATTTGTGATGTCTTGCTGCAGTTTGTGGCGCCTGTCATGATTCAACTTTCCGATTCACAGATACAGGCATCCTCCGGACGGAAGTTCTTCAGGTTGTGTAGTTCTATTTGATGTGGCTTCTCCTCGCTGTTTTCCATCGTGAATCGCTCAATCTCCGAGGTGTTTGCCGAAAAACGTGGTTTGCTTACCCCTGTTTTGTCTCATCACCTCATGCTCATGTTCCTCCCCTGCCGCCGCGCGTCGGTAGAAAACATCACTCACAACTTAGGAAGATTTTGCTTTCGATGAAAGTTGAAAAGTTGCATGTCGAATTCCTTCTCGATTCACCTAATTTCGATCTAGAGACAATCTTAACACGATGGTTTTCGTCTGCCAAGAGATTTAACTACAGAGGTTATCCACACAATGAGACACTCGACCAAAGATCAGCGGAGACGAATGTACTGTTCAAGGTGTTCCCATCGATCGAGTTGTCCGAATGTGACCTCCAGGATTTCAGTAATCCATAGAAAAAGTATTCTTCAACTTGACAGTAACTCTGTGATACACGTGACTAAGTGTGCCCGAATGCAACAGATTTTTGGCGATATTTTGATCAAACTAAACTGAATAAATCTTACAGTACGGAGAAATCTACTCAGAAAGAAGATGGATGCATTCCAGGACTAAATATTCTCAAATTCTTATCACCGCGTGGTTTTCCTCAACTAACTCTACCCATGGCAGCCGAGTAACTTAGCAAAACACACAAGCGAGAAAAAATGTAGACTCTCAAACGATGGTAATGGTGCGTTTAGTAAAGGTGATCAGTAGTATCTATCCAAACCTGAATGTTTAGTGTGAGTGTACCAAAAACAACGAAACGTTTAGGAGAACATTGATTACGTAACTACCTCGTCAGGTATAGTTACTTCAAGGAAGAAACATAAGCCGAGGAAACTTTCCCTAGCAGTCTCAGCGTCAGTGCTAATTTCAGTATTCAATCTATCCAGGAAAATTGCTCTCGTGTGAAACGCTTGAGAAGGGAATATGACGGTAATGAATAAGTCAACTTCAGATAATCGGTGAGAATATTCTAGACATACAGCTGATGGCGAGGATTTCTCTACAAAAAAAGTACTCGTCCAATTGGATAATTTTGGTGTTCTGTCATGCGGTGATTCATTAGAATATAACCAATCACAAAATGATTAGAGTTTCAAATTATCGATCGATCGGTGAACTCAAAAGAAAGAACTCTAACCGCATACAGTGTCACGTGATTCTTGAAGCAGACCATGGCGCTGTACAGTTGACGGTTTTCCAGTCAAACAAAAAGGCGTGAGTGATTGGCAAGCAGACAATATCCCCGCAACACCAGTTTCAGAAAAGTCGTGGCATTTGTTTTCCGCTCTTGCTAGCGTTTCTGAAGCTAACCTTTTTGACTGGATGAGGATCGTGCAAAACCTAACGGTAGAGTATCGAAGTGAAAAGTCTGTACAAAAAAGAAATGCGGTTGTTCAAACAAAATTCTATTAAATCTATGGTGAGACCTTTGCTCATGAACTGACGTTTAGCACGATAAAGATTATCTGTTCAAAAAAACCATTTGATGGAACCCGAGACATGCTTTACTGAATTTTACCAGCTAGCAACTACCGCTATAAAAAAAATTTCTAGAAGCACTCAAAGTACACTCAAGGAAACACAATAATTTCATCAGCGCAAGTCTGATGGTGTCGGACCCGGACCTTTCAGCCGCCACTCGTTTAAGGTGTACAGCGCTCCCTTAGAAAGAAACTAGCTGGTTTCCCGTATGCAAGTGAAATTCATATTGAGCAGTTGAGGTGGACAGGTTTATCACATTCATACACAATAAACATTGAATTCATCCGGTCCATTAAAAAACAGATTCTTCATGATAACGTCAGAAAATATTTGATTATGGACCACATGTAAACTAGTCCTATTGAAACGCAAATTTCACGATAGTTCTAGAATAATCCCTCCTGATTATTGATTTCTGATGGTTTGTTTGATGTGATTGTGCTTTGATGTTACAAATTAGTATGCTTAAATTGATTCATTTTTTTCATGGTATCGATGTGAAAAACGCAGGTATACAATCAATGTCGTCTGTCATAGAAGCGACGGATTCCGTTCAGCCCATCCATCAACGCTGTAATCAACGACCCAGGGGCACCACAGACCTGTTGAGCAGCTGATACAAAAGATGTCAATATTTGTGTGTCCTTACAGGAACCGAGCCGCAAAGGCCTCCTGAGTTGAATGACTTATTCAACAAACGCTTCTCCTGAGAATGCCTTTTCGCAACACTCTTTGGGTTTCAAACTTGAAATGATGAAGTTCAATTTTCGAAGGATTTTCGATGGCTGATGGGACATTTGTATTTGAAGAACCACGGGTTTCAAGTCGCATCGCTTAGGGTAAAAATTTGGACGGCATCTCATCTTCTGACGACCGTTTGACAAGCGGTCACTGTAGCATGGCTGATTCGTTCACCAGGAGCCTATAAAAGCCCGGATATGAGCATGAGAGCGGCTCTTGCGAATCGAGGAAAGTGGTTCTTTACATCCCATGAGATACCTTCAAGAGACCATGCAGCCGCTGTCCTTCTGCGAGTGTGTCTACATCAGTGGCAGTTAGAACATCTAATCTGATGCTTACTAAACTGCCATTCTCTGGAGAGAGATATATAGAGACATTTCTTCACAGAATCGTCACCTACCTCTTCAAGTAACTAGTTCTAGTCGTGAGAACATTACCACATCAGGTCTACTTTGTTCGATACGAAGATGAAGCTTACCCACGGCCCTGAGCAGGTCTCTCAGTTCAAATGCATCCATTGTACCGTTGCCATTGCGATCGAATCGTTTGAATATGCTCTGTAATCAAAGCAGACATGAACAGTGACAAGGTTAACTCGAGTACTACCAGTGTGCACCCGGTGTCAGTAATCGGATGTCAGATATGTCAGTTATTTTCCCAACGAAGTGTTGCTACCAACCCTGCACTGTCATCCCATTTGCCACAGACAGTAAACTGGATTGATAATCCAATTGTTCATGCAGCTTTTTAGAGTCAACGTATAAGTTTCGCCACCAATCTAGATAAATTGGTAACACGTCGAAATGTGGGCGTCGAACAACAGTGCACTGTCGTGAATAAGCCTTCTTCTAGAAGGGAACTACTCACAGGGTTGCTGAAAACTCTTCCACAACCCACGACCAGTTTCAGCCTTCTTGGGGCTCAGTAAGTAAGTGCAGTCCTCGAGTTTCCGTCAACCTTATGTTCCACTTGAAGCCTTGTTCTAGCTTGGACGCAAATCCCGAAACTGATTGTTCAATCCTATAGGCCAGTGGTTTGAGCGCGTTCTTATTAGTATAGGCCTAACTCACGTTTAAGCCTGATTCAGAAAGTTCGCTACTGAACTGTCAAAGGCGGTAAATCATAAGCTGCACCAGCAATTACTTCGTGATTGGTTATTTCGGTGATCAATCCTATAGGCCACTGGTTTGAGCGCGTTCTTATTAATATAGGCCTAACTCACGTTTGAGCCTGATTCAGAAAGTTCGCTACTGAAGTGTCAAAGGCGATAAATCATAAGCTGCACCAGCAATTACTTCGATACAACCAGAATTTGTTGGACATTATATTTTTGGGGTCGAAGTCATTCCCCGTTTTGTAGTTCGACGGCTGGAAAGCAAGTCTGATAAAATTCTTCGCAAACGCTGGGCCTTCAAAGGAAGAAGTTCTTAGGCTTAAGATGGCTACTGCTCTCATGCTCACCTTGTCTGTGACCACCAAGCTTCAAGACACCGAATTCGTGATTCGTATGGGATTCCGATGAAATCATCACAAACCTCATGGTTCAACTCCCAGTTTGCCAGTATTAGCAAATTTCAACATAATGAAAACTCTTCCACAGCCCAAGACCAGTTTCGCCCTTCTTGGGGCTCAGTAGGTAAGTGCGGTCCCCGAGTTTCCGTCAGCCTTATGTTCCACTTGAACCCTTGTTCTAGCTTGGACGCAAATCCCGAAACTGATTGTTCAATCCTATAGGCCAGTGGTTTGAGCGCGTTCTTATTAGTATAGGCCTAACTCACGTTTAAGCCTGATTCAGAAAGTTCGCTACTGAACTGTCAAAGGCGGTAAATCATAAGCTGCACCAGCAATTACTTCGATACAACCAGAATTTGTTGGACATTATATTTTTGGGGTCGAAGTCATTCCCCGTTTTGTAGTTCGACGGCTGGAAAGCAAGTCTGATAAAATTCTTCGCAAACGCTGGGCCTTCAAAGGAAGAAGTTCTTAGGCTTAAGATGGCTACTGCTCTCATGCTCACCCTCGTCTGTGACACCAAGCTTCAAGACAATAGTTGGATACTTATCCAGACACCGAATACGTGATTCGTGTGGGATTCCGATAAAATCATCACAAACCTCATGGTTCAACTCCCAGTTTGCCAGTATTAGCAAATTTCAACATAATCAGACTAGTATCGTTAGACAGTTTGTCTTCTGGTCCGCTTTTTTCGTGCACTGTGGAACCATCACTCATTCTGAAGGGATTGTGCACATTCTACATGACTTTTACTCTATGTATAAAAACTGAACAGCCTGCGTGGAGTTTTTTTTAATTGTCTGGCGCTTTTGTACTGTTAAGACAAGCGATGAATTGTCTATTACTCCTTGTTGAACCAAGGATTGTTTTGAATTACTCACTCCTATTTGCTGTGAATCGTTTAATGCGATATTGCTACCCCAAGAACCGCATTTACAATGATGCCCACCGGCGTCATGAAAACTCAATTTCGGATTCCAACAAAACGGGTGCAGTACGGCCGAAACGATGACCCCGGAAAATTTGCTACGAATATTTTGTACGCTGCATGGTAAAGTCAACCTGCCAGAACGCGAGACTACTTTCCAGAATGTGCTTTCTGTAAGAAACAATGAAAACGGTTACCTAAGGGGGTTGTGGCGGAAAGGGTAATATGTCAGTAACGTTTGCATCAGAATGACCATTCAGTTAGTGCCTTAAGTTAAGTGGATTGCTGCAATTTTAGCTACGAAACCCTCGGTTTCCTCACTAAACATTCGCTGTGACTTGTGTGAGAAGGATCCGGAATTCCTAACGGAGATATCCTGTTTGATGAGGTGCGCATTGGTAATGATGTTAGATAGAAATGCAGTAGTTATACGGTGCTTCTTGGCTTTCAACATAGGTTGGCTTCAGTTAGAGAACGAAATCCTCATCAAGCTGTCTTTCCGACCTTTGGGGATGACCTGAATGTCAACGACACAATGCGAATTTGCCCGTGCTAGGTCGTGTAGTCTAAACTTTCTGCTGACCGCTTCGTCCATTCAATACACAGCTATCAAACAATCAGTTCATGGTGAATGTCTAAGGTTGCCGACTTTTCACGCCTCTGAGCTGTCAGAAAGCGTCGCTTTGGTTTGACAAACCGTATCGCTGCAACCACATGTTGAATGACACTCGACGAACGGGTTAGATGAATGGATGAAATGAGCGTCAGTTTCTCTCCCAGTACTTCTTCACGTCATGATAAATTTTTTTGTCAACCTCAGGTAGACCCGGGCCGTGCATTTCACATGGCTTTTTACCCATCAGTAGAGCTCTAAAATTCTGGGAGACACATGCTTTTGGTGATTTGGAGTCAGCTTTTTCAAATTTAGTTCATTTTAATCAACATTCAGAGATTGTCGCCCTGATTACAGACCCATATTACTGTTTGTTCTCCCGGTATGAACTTTTTTGCATGTCTCGGCTGTAAGCACCGACAGTTTCTATCCCAGAGTACCATGTCTGCAATGAACTTTTTTGCTCCTTAGTTAGATCTTCAAAGGCACTTTAGTTGACCATGTAATCAATAGACACCTCAAAAGTTGTCCTGACTTCTCGCCATGGATCCCGTTGGATACACATCATTTACACCGAGACTGGTCATCAGTTGAAAATTTCATTAGCATACGTGATACATAGTACATCCAACTTCAGGGCACGTTGATCTCAAGAAGAATTTTGTGTGAACTACTCAGGCAGTGAATATGTGGTTTTCGCCTGATCCACTAATGGGACATGACAATACTCGTATTGCCCTAATTGAGTGAAGCGCTTTTGTGGGTAGTGTTTTATTCGTAGGTTACTCACCAATCATTCACTATCTGGACGCACATGCTTACTTCTAAGTGCATAACGAGCAAACTCTTATAAACTGTTGCATACCCCATCAACTAGTTCCTTCTCACCTTCCAAAGCCGTAGATCCATCCAGAGTTTTTTAAACTGCATGAAATCCAGCGAACCAGACAGATCCGTCTTGAAAGTTGAGAGAGTGAGTTAAGGATAATGCATGGATAACACGAAGTAAACCCTAAAAAGTGCTTGTTACTTTCCGAGACAGACTACCATACTGACACAAACGGAACTACCAGTGAACAGTATGATCCACTGAGGTTGATATCACACCGAAATGACCAGCCTCAAATGCTGGAGCTATTCGCCTACTTGCCAATCTATAAGTAGGCACAAAACGTAGATATATTATGTGCGTATGAAGAGCAAAGGATACGTCCATCAATGCAACCATGCTGCGAGCAGTTTCTCTACTGAATCCCTCGAAAGCGAACTCTGTCACGGTGGAAAAATAAAAAAATGAAAAGGTGAGCAATTTCGAAATCTCAACAATATGCACAAGTTAGCTTAACAGTCCAACATGGTTAAATGCTTAGCTACCATCATCCATACATTGGAATAAATATCCTAAATAGAAGTCTGATGTGGCTGAACATGGTTCACTTCGTGCGGCAAAAAATTAAGGTGATTCGGGGGAGAACACATAAAGTCAAGATCTGAAATCTCCGAGTGCTCATGCTCCGGAAGGATTCTTCAAGTGAATCAATACATGTCATATCTGCTGATGTAATGCATTTGTCTTTTTCAGACATTGAAGCCATCAATCAACTTTCCTCTATTAACTTGACATTGTTCATTGATAGCCAAGATGTGGTTTCACACTGCTGTCCACATGAACTCTGATAATGTGTTGGGGAACTATGGAATGAGGGCTAACTCGATGGTTCGGTGTCAACACATCTCCAAGTTTAGCTGTCATGACTGTGGAAAAAGTGTGTGGTTCCCACCTGCAGGTAAGATCTACTAAGCATATGAATCCGGCTATTTTGGCACGATCCGTTCAGATAAATTTTATAGTAGATATTTGCTGTTCATGTAGATCCTCCCGTGAGCATCCAGAGGCAGGTTAGAAGGCAACAAAGTATATTCTGGGTGCACTAGTACAGACGGAGTTGTGCGAATAACAAAACTGGCTTTCTTTTGTTTAATCCGCCCGGACGGGATAGAGAACGTCTTTCCCTTTTCTAGTGGCCACTCCTCTTTGAAGAGAATGTCAGAGTAGGACTTGTTTTGAGAGAACGTCATTGTAGCCAACACAGTTGGGTGGTCCCTCCTAGAATAAACAGGGTAAACAAGGTGACTGAATCGAGTGATTCTCTAGAGAAACAACTCCTTTGAATGACAATCACCCTCCCACATTAAGCTTCTTTGCAGTGCTCCATAGTTCGAAGAGATGTGAACCCGTAAATTTGGGTATGTTTAATTTTGCACTTACCAATATCATTCACACTCGCGTTCCCCAAGGTCTTCTACTTGGTCTTCTTTGTTGAACGGGTCTTCTGAACATACAGTACAGACTAGATTTGAATATGCATTGTCAAGTGGTCTTGAACTATTCCAAAGACTCATGATTTACAGCGTTACCAAAATTATCTGTCTTCATGCCGTCCGCGCCGGATCGCACTGGCATATTCCAGTTTTCAAAACATACCGCCTAAGACAGTTGGTCACATGATATATAATCTCTTTGATGTTCTTCTTGTCGCGTGATCCACAGCGCATCCACTTGTTTGATCAGATCGTACAAAATCACCGGGTACGTTTGCCGAACAAATCAAGTCACGTTAACACTAATCTAAGGCATCTTAGCCTTCCAGGTTGAATTTTTTGTTGACCTTGCTATAAGTCCCATCTGTTTGCGGTTTAATAAAGTGTAAAATTTTCACAAGCAGGTGTGCCCCACCGTTATAGCAGCCACCTAGGAGAACAATCACCCTCCCACATTAAGCTTCTTTGCAGTGCTCCATAGTTCGAAGAGATGTGAACCCGTAAATTTGGGTATGTTTAATTTTGCACTTACCAATATCATTCACACTCGCGTTCCCCAAGGTCTTCTACTTGGTCTTCTTTGTTGAACGGGTCTTCTGAACATACAGTACAGACTAGATTTGAATATGCATTGTCAAGTGGTCTTGAACTATTCCAAAGACTCATGATTTACAGCGTTACCAAAATTATCTGTCTTCATGCCGTCCGCGCCGGATCGCACTGGCATATTCCAGTTTTCAAAACATACCGCCTAAGACAGTTGGTCACATGATATATAATCTCTTTGATGTTCTTCTTGTCGCGTGATCCACAGTGCATCCACTTGTTTGATCAGATGAGTACGACACCCTGATCGTACAAAATCACCGGGTCCGTTTGCCGAACAAATCAAGTCACGTTAACACTAATCTGAGACATCTTAGCCTTCCAGGTTGAATATTTTGTTGACCTTGCTATTAGTCCCATCTGTTCGCGGTTTAATAAAGTGTAAAATTTTCACAAGCAAGTGTGCCCCACCGTTATAGCAGCCACCTAGGACAACCTTCTCATCCTCCCGTATATCAGATACACAAAATAACTGTTTCAAACACTAAGGTTTTGTCCGTGACTATCTGAAATGCTGACTTCACAAGCGCTGTCCCGCCAGGCAGAGTTTTACGTCCGAAGCGCTGTTTTTTCTGGTAACTATGGCTGGAGTAACAGGTAAAAAACCACCCGACGACGTCCTTGACTAGGTTATTTATGTTGCAGGACAGTTCTGGTTTATTCAACTGTTATTGAAGACCGAAAAAGGTTTCGGTGAGATTCCCGGTCTGAATTGAGAAGAACTTTGGATGCGAAAGCCAGTTCTTATTCGTGCGTAAAAGCCACAAGCCCATTTTATTCAGTACGAGGATGGACGAAGCAAAAAAACATTTCTCCCGTCGTCGCAAAGAAGTTCATATTTTGTACTTTCCTAAGGCTAATCCATCAGATACGACTTGTTCATGCGTAGATCTGGGACAGAAACGCGTTCCGTAGTCGTAAACATTTAGGAGTTTAACAAAGATTCCATCATTCTCCGCACTGGCAAGGACAGATCAATAAAACCAAAGTAGGGAGCCCCACCCGAAAATATTGGTCTGCAGATCAGCGCTGAAATGAGCGAAACTGATCCTGCTCTATTGGTCTAGCTTGGAGAAAAATTCAGGACGTCTACAAATCTATATTCTTTCGACTGACTTTCTTCAATCCACGGTTTACTGATACAGCATACTATCAGTATGGTCAGATTCCTGAAAGCGACCCCAAAACGCCGGGAACCTAGTGAGACCCCAAAACTTCACGAAAATCTCAATAGAAGGAAACCCGCAAGCATCCAGGCCAGTCAATCATTCAATCAATTCAGCAAAACCTGATGAGTGTTCAGGCACGCCACAGAAACACGACCGAATGTGATCAGCGTTCAGGCATTTCATAGAGGCACGATCGATTTTGATGGGTGTTCACGAACACCTATCAGACAGCCTGGATCAATGTCAGAAAGTGCCCTTTAAGTAGCGCAGGGCCGTTGTAACGCACGCACTCGCTTGTTTGGAATAAAGCTCTCACGTTCCCTTATCGGTGAGTTCTTTCTGACACCAGGCAGTGGAGTGGGAACAGCAGTTAGGTAGAACGCATACAGTGTGACATTTCTACGGTTTTTGATAAGGTTTGTTTCAGACCCAAGTATTTAGAGCGCGAATTTACTGACCGGAGGTCCATGGTTCGAACCCGACCTCTGCCTCTCGACTTCCCCTGTCTAGGCTTGGGCAACCTGGCAGTATCCCAGCCCTTGGGTCCCCTTCGCGTGGTACGGCTACTAGGCACCGGAAAAGTGCTACAGCTGTACGCTTTGTTTCAGGCCACATCGATGAACTGGGCAATGATCGGTATTTATAAGTCAGAAATCTCAAAAGATGTGTCGCTTTGTAGACGTATAAAGTCACTTCTTAGGCCACTGCATTGTGGATTCTTAGATAACCATTAATACTAGAGCTAAATTGATCCGGTCAACCAAACAGAACGATTTTTCAAAGTCCTATCAGTTATGTAGCTCCGAAACAAGCCCGAATTCCTTGCTCAGATTCAAGATAATTCCTTTCTTTTTGGTTCTTACCTTTTATGAACGCGGCATTGAGGATATCTCGTAGCTCCGGATAGGATAGTACACCGTCTGGGCCAGCAACATCAGTGAACGCGGCCCTCAGCTTTTCTACCAGTGATACATCATCTTCTGTTTTCGGTTCCTGTGGCTAGAATCGCAATGGTAAAGGGGGAATTAAAATCTGAACTCTCGAATGACTTTTATGTGAATGATCACGTAATGGTTAGGCACGTAAATAGCAGTTTTATTTTTTTTAAGCCATCTTCCCTCAACGGATAGCAAATTTCCTGTCACTGTAATATTTTCATGACTCCCTAAGGAGGAACCTAACTTTGCCGGTAGATATGATGTGGAAATATTTCCCGCTGGTATGCATCCACCGTAAAAACGGGTTAGACTTGAAATTGCTGGAGCAAATGCTACATCACCAAGGCGAGGTTTCTGAAAATGAGGCAACATCCGCACCAGAATAATGGAGTCTTTCGTGTTATTCTCAGGGGAGCAAAACAATTACAATTAATGGGAACGAATGTCTAGAGGATTACATCACCGTCTTCTGAAAGGAACAGCAGAATTACACGAAACGAACTGGAAGTTACGAGTCGGCTTGGTGCCAGCTAGAGATGCTCCAAGTAAATCGGTGCCGGGGACCTTCACTTATTTTGTTGTTGATATGTTAGCCTTACACCGGAGATCGCCAGTCCATTGTACAAGAAAGTGACAGCTGACACTTAATTCAATTGTTTCTCCATTGTGCCGAAGTGCATGCAAGTTATATATCAAAGTTACATATCAAAGCTTTGATCGACGGAAGTTTTTTTGACAACTTGGCTTTAAGCTGAAGTGGAAGTTTTCCATTTTAAAGGTAAACGTTACTGGTGGGTATTCTAACCAAAGACTGTCAAAACTTATCGTATCATGGCGACATTTTTATGCCACGTTCGAAACCATTCCTATCCCATAGTTCGTTCAAGTCAGGGTGCGAAAAGCCATAGAGCTAGTCATGCTTATTTCACGACACGACGTTCGTTACATGATGGGTGGACAGTCCATAACCGGTATTCTCCTCTTGAGGACTCACGAGATGGACCCAACTCCCTGATTTCTCCCAAGCGGCCTTATTGGGATCTTTGAAAAGAAAATGGGACTTATGCGCGAGTAACTACGGAATCGGAGTGAACGAGAAATCTAGAGGAATGTCAACCCAATCATCCCCCATAAGTTCCGTAAAACGAAGTGCCCACACGAAGGCACGTTTTCGCTCCAACGATCTTGAAGAGTTTGGCTTCATTATTTTGCTTATAAGACCACTCACGGACCGTTTCGTCCTTCGTGAGGGCTATCACCTCAAGGTAGGCAAATGAGTTTTCATCTGCCTACAGCAGCGTCTTTATCCCATGTCGGGTGTTTCGAACAATGGGAGATTTTCACCAAAAGCCATCGTGTACAGAGGCCAAACGTCCCTACTAACCGTACATCACATCATTTGGACGGATGTGTCACGTGCAGGACACGGGCCAAACGAAGGCATGCCCTGATTGGTCAGAATGCCACCCAATCCGAGTCAAGCACCTTGGACTCGACGCGGTGATTCTGGCACGACCTTGTGGAACACTGTGACTACCCTATAAATACAGTTGTAATAATTTTCCTTTGTCTCCATAAAGAGATGTGTAGAGCTACCGTGCCTTTTGATATTCCATAGTGGGCGGAGCAGGAAGCCAAGGAACCGATACAGAGTTGCTCTACCGTTCAGCATGTCACAACACATCGAACTTCCCACAGATAACAGGCAATATTTTACTGTCACTCATCAGTCTGGACTATATTCCGGGCAGTGGTATTACTCCGGTGCTCTCATTGGCCACCTGTTATAAACAGGTAAGTGGTGCCCCCCAGTGTTACGCCATCACGTTTAGGCCAGCATGCCTCTGTCTGTTAGAGCGCAGATTTTACTCACTAGGATCTACATAGGCTCCGAGAGCTTGTATGCAGCGCTACAGTCAGCTCTGAGCAAACTGCCTGTGGTTGTCCAACAGTACCATCACTATTGACCGAAAAATCCGACTCAGTGCACTTTGTTGAGGGGGCTCGACCCTTCTGCACATGACCAAACAGCTAGTGAACTCTCCTCAGTCACAGCGGTATCGAAAGAACAATCAGGAGACGTTTCTCTGGCTAAAAACGGATAGCTTCACTATTCGGGTATTGAGGCTTCACAGAGTGCCTGGAGGTTACATCCAAAAAAAAGCTTACGTTTGGCTCTCATCCAGTGCTTCAGGACAACTAAAATTCGGTGGAATGAAAGAAGTGCGCAAAGATCTGGTCAAGCTATATGTCGGACAAAGTAAGCGAACCGCACCTCTAGATAGTTAGCCACAGGCTGTGAGCAATTTTTTATCACCGACTTGTCTACCGAAAGTAAAATGCTGTCTGTAAGAAGCACCTATTGATTTTTTGGAAGGGGAATAACCGCCGTAACACACCCTCAGCCCAATTAATCATCAGTGAGGTGAGCTGGCATCTATCAGCCAAGTGTTTACTGTAGAAACCAAAATCAGCTGTCACCGCAAACGGAAGTGCAACACAAAGCAAATCGAAATTGTGTGGCTCGTGTTTTGAAAGAATCACATTTTTCTATTTCGATACCTACAGGTAAGTACACACCATGACGTTTAATCCCACGGGATCCGGTTCCCTAAAAGTCCGAAAACCAAGTTAAACTTTAGAAGCGGATCTCCAACTAGTTGTTTTCACAGGGTCACCTGTCTGTGCATGTGAAAAATGTGTGGTACAGTTGAACCAAAATTTATCAGGTACGTACAAAAGTTCAATAAGAGTACAGCGTAAGGTATGAAGTGACCTCGGATGGCAGATGATCACCTGCTCGTATCAAATCATTCCGGTCACACATTCATACCAGATTAGGGGTAGGTGTGTGAGAACGAAAACATTAAATTAAAGCAACAAATTTATACGGGTTGGTTTTCGACGGAAGAGTGCAACGTTCAAATTTGGAGGAGGGTGATTTAAGTTCACTGCTTTGAGAGAGATTCTATACGATCAACACACTGTCTTGAGGTGGTTTCGACCTTTCGACTAGACAGCCACAAAACCCTGTCAAAACTCGGTTTACTAAACGACTTCAGCTCCCGTTGAGCAGTGAGGGCTTGTCATAGCCATCGAGTTCTCACGGTTATTGGATTCCCCACCCCCTTGAATCGTCACGGTTTGAAGCCGATTCCAAACTCCGTATGACTACATAACGTAACTAAGGTAGAAACCGGTCTTGGGCTGTCGAGGGGTTTTCAGCAACCATATGAGTAGTGTATTACAAATGTACATATATCGCGGTATCCCGAATATCGTAGCGATTGAAACATGAGTCGGCCTAGTGCAGCTAATTCAGATACCTGGAAACATCACAAACTAAGGATTCAGCGGGCTTCCAGGTGAGTCTCTCGAAAAACCAAACTAGCTTGCGAATGAGTGTATTTCTCTAAGGTAGAAAGAACATTTTCGTTTAGTCTTGAGACGCATTTTGTAGCAAACACCTGACTGTGTTGAAAACTTTCGTCCCAATCGATAGGTCTGGCAACGACATTCATTCGTCAAGTAACACAGGTGCAATGTAATGGCTCGTTCAGGCTGCGAATATCACCGAGATCCTGTCGCTTCACTTAGAACCTACACACAATCGCATGCTTGACCGAACGTTCCATTCATTCCCCTTCGTGTTGTAGTCAGCCCTTGATTGGTGTGGAGATTTCGCCGAACAATCATCCCCCTGCCTGGTGGAAACATTCTGCCCTTGATTGTGTGGAGCATTCGCCGAACAATCATCCCCCTGCCTGGTCGAAACATTCTGATGAGCTCTTACCAAAGGGGCGAAGCATTGGACTCGAGTTCCGCTCTTATTAGAGCTCATCAGTAAGGTACATCATCGGCCGTACCGGGGTTTGAACTTCGGACATCCAACATGCGATGTGGGCGTCTTTCCACCAATGCACCGGCGCGCCATGGGCGCGATTGAGTCATCACGTCTGAACGTAGCGAAGTGGAGCGAAGTGGCTGACCCATAGCAGCTGACGGGTGATCAATCGATCGACAAAACCAGAACGATTACTACGTCGTCGTGCAA